AAAGCTACTTCCTAAATAAATATGACTGACAAACGCAAAGAGCTCTCTATTTTTGAACGTGGTGAGGTTGTTGGTGCTTGGAAGTGTGGAATTAGCGAACGAGCTATTGTTGAGAAATTAAACCACCCCAAAACGACTATTCATGACGTTATTGAAGCTTACAAAAAAGATGGACTGGAGATGCCTCCACCTCGGGTAGGTAGGCCACCTATACTAACAGAAAGAAATGGGCGTTGTTTATTAAGAACTCTTAAGAAGGATAGACAAGCAAATATTAAAGAACTACATGATAATTTTACACAAACTGCCGATGTAAAAGTAAGTGTAAGGACTGTTCAACGTTATCTTCATGAACAGGGATTTTTTGGGCGAGCTGGAGTCAGAAAACCTTTTGTAACTGAGGCTAATAGAAAGAAACGATTTTCCTGGGCTAAAGAGAGAAAGGATTGGGGGGAAGAGTGGAAAAACATAATTTGGAGCGATGAGTCAAAGTTTGAACTTTTCAAAGGAAGTGGTAGAAGGTGGGTTTGGCGAAGGCCTCACGAAAAATATGATGTAGGGTGCCTTATTCCAACTTTTAAGTCAGGACAAGATGGTATAATGGTGTGGGGATGTTTTACGTATAATGGGCTTGGCCCTTTAGTTAGGTTAGAAGGAAGAATTAATGCTGCAGCGTATATAGATGTTTTGGACGATCATTTACTTGGGTTCATAGATGATTTAGGTGACGAAGAAGAGTATCTTTTTCAGGAGGATAATGCTCCAATCCATACAGCAAGGGTTACTACGGAATGGAAAAGGGATAATGATATTGAAACTCTACCGTGGCCTGCACAGAGCCCGGATATGAACCCCATTGAAAATTTATGGGACGAGTTGGAAAGACAAGTCCGGGCGCGCAAACCACTACCAAAAAATCGGGAGGAACTTTGGTCTGTACTTCAGGAGGAGTGGGGTAAAATCAGAATTCATAAACTCCAAAATCTTGTTAATAGTATGCCTAACCGAATTAAGGCTGTATTAAAGAGCAAGGGTAACCCCACAAAATATTAATAAATGAGCCTTAAACTTTCAAATTTTGCCTTTCGAATAAATCAATTTTTTTATAAAATTCACTTAATAGTTTTTGAGAAAATTAAGTTTAAATTTTCGTAACGATTTTATAAATTTTTTATACCTCGCAAGTGGTCGGTCACTTTTGGCAGGGCACTGTATAAGGGATTTGTGCACCTAGTGTGCTTTGGTTATCCTCCTCTTCTAGTAGTCTTCCCTTTGGTGGTGGGTCTCATGTCTTACTATCAATGTGACAGTACCTCTGCACGAGTTTGATCACTCACGATATATCGTTAATGTCAGTTGATAGTAGGCATGGGGGCTTGAATTTGTCTTTTCTACAAAGCTTACTTAGAGTACTCGAGTCTTCTAACATATTTTTACAATATATTTTATTTTAGATTTCTTTTGTTTAAATATTAAAAACTGAATTTTCTTATCCCACTTTGATTACTTTAACAAAAATTCTGCGCGCAAAATTTACCTTTATAAACTCATACATTACATTGCGATATCCAAAACTTGTTTTTAATATACAAAATAATTTTTTAAAATCAATATGCTATAAACCTGGACTGGACTGGATATGTTCGTAAGGCTTGTAAAAGATTGGGTATAGATTTTATCAACATGGTCGTGTGGATCCTTAAAAGTGTAAATACAAATCAGGTTTTTTTTTAAAAAAAAATTGAAATAATTAGACCTTGTTTATACCTTTGTTTATACTTTATAGGCTCATTGAAGATACTGTTGGTGCTTTTAGCAGAACTTGTTAAGGACTCTTGATATTGAAACAAATGGAATTATGGAAACTTTTCGTGCGTGAATTAAGTATCATTATAGTAATAATTTATGGTACACTTCACTTAGGCATGAGTTCCTATCAGTATTTATCATTTAAAATACTTTGATATATAACTTTTTCGTTAGAATTAGAAATTTCCATTTAATGAATATTATATATATCCACGATGACTTTGAATAGGAGAACTCATCCTCGTTTTCAAGCTGGAAATTTTACCAAAAATCCAGAACTTGCAGATAAATTTGTGAACTCGCAAGAAAGGATTAACTTCAGACCAGCTTTGTTTGGGTTCTAGCTCTGGTAACCAATAATCCAATAATCCTATTCTTACTTAATATTTTACAAATATGTTGTAATAACATTTTTCTTTTTTTATAGTGTGATAATAGTGATAATATTGCTACTATGCTATTCCTGGTAGGTAAAAAAATTAGTTTCGAAGAATTGCCTAATAATTAGGCAAATAACTAATTCTTTTGAAATTATTTGTGATAGATACACCACTGTTGGTATGAAGGTAAAAATATATATATAATATTAAAATAATACTAACTTTTTTTAAAAAAAAGAAAAAAATTTTGAATTTTATATAATAAATTAAGCTTGTAAACCATGTGAAGGCTTTGCACGGTGCGACGAATATGAGAATTCGAATAGTAGAACGAATAAACGTATCTTGTTTCTTTCGATTCTTTGCAGTCGCTTCTTCTTGTATGAGATTGGTACATTTGATAAAAGCTTTCGGTTTACACCCTACAATATTACTGATTTACTTTTACAAATTGGATAAAAAAAAAATCTTCGCTCATAAACAAGACTATAAAAATGCGTTCCAGGATTATATAATTACTTTTGCTTTTCTATTGCTCTCGATTGATCGATTTTATAGTTTTATTTTTACTTTTTTATAAGTTGAGCGCCAAAATTACAGATCACGTTAATATTCAAGCATATATGCCAGATAAGGTACGGAAATTATAAATTCAACCTCACAGAGTTTTGCTAACTTGCCCTGGGTTAAATAACCTGGGTTAAATCACCCAAGTAATAGAGTATATTTAGAAAAATTGCATTTCATTTTGAAAGATGTGGTAAAAAGTATACAATTAATATGTTTAAATGGTATTAAATAAATTCTTTTAAAAAACTATGTCGTAATCAGCGGTGATGACCTATAACACTCCTATAATGATATAGTGTTTAAATGGATACCATACAATCAATTCAACGATTTCAACAAAATAAAATGGGTTTGCTAATGCAATAAGGAGGGATGATCGATTAAGTTATTCTTAATTAAAAGAAAAATATGAAAGATGCAAGTTTCTTTAAAATATTTACATAATATTTGATAAACTTCTAAATGAGGTATGAAATTTCTTTATTCATTTGATTTACTAGATGGATATTGTGAAGATGTGATAATAAATGTACGGATGCATTTAATTATCGTGTAAATTTAGAAGATTAAGAAAAAAATGTTTTTTTATCTAGATAACGGAATAACAGATAATAATTACTCTTATTGGAAAGAAAATTTAAGAGCACATTTAAATAAAAAAAAAATTATTCAAGGACGTTGAGTTACTCAATGTCAGTATTGTTTATTCACCAAAAATATTTGGAGGTTATAGTCCTATCGGTACAGTTCTTATGAAAATAATAGAAATATTGAAAAATATGAAGATAAGTACTGTAGAGTATGGAAGGAGAAGGGGAAGGTGAGAGAAAGAGGGAAGGTGAACATTTTTTAATTTTGCATTATATGAATTTTATGATTATGCGTTCAATTTTGGTGGAGAATCTATGTCTATAGTTAATATTGGACAGATTCTTTTTACTGGTAGAGCATACAAAAATCATCATAAAAATTTTACCTATTTTTAATTAAGTAAAAAAGTTTTATGCATATTTCTGATTCAAGTTACACAAGAACAAATATAATACAAACCGTTATTGATATAAATTTCTATAGTTTTATAGCAGATATAGAAGAAATAAAGAGATTAACCAATTATTATAAATCCTAATAATTACGACTTAGGCTGCAATATTGATATTCGCTGCATTATAATCTAAAAAAAATTGTGTAACTAATATAGCAAATGATGAACATGTCACATGAAAAAGATACAATATTTTAAATCGTACTACCAATGAAATATTAAAAAATTTTTTATATACAGTACATGTATTTTATTATACTATTCATGTATGTCATTACTTATTTAATAAATATTACGACATTGCAGGACCATTCAAAGATTGAAGAATCCAGTTCTCATTAATTTACCATTTTATATAATTCATTTTTTCAATCGGCATGAATTGATTTGGATATATTTGATTCATCAATAATATACTAAATTTAGCAACGATTTCGCTGATGGAGAAAGTTATATACAGTACAGCATAATTTTTTGTAATAAATTAATCGGAGCTGTTCGCAGTTGACATCTATTATTTGTTTGTTAATATAAAATTATTCATTTGATGTTATTCTGTTATTCTCATTTTTTGTAAAATCATCTTTATTTTAAAGCGGATTTACCACGATCAGAATTCCCAATCTTATTCTCAATCCACTTTTCTCATATGAATTATTTATTCCGAGAAAACTAATAGAACTTAAATCTCTATGATGCAAATAAGGTATTTGGAGTCCTAAAAAATAAATTATTACAACGATGTACCAAGTTTAAAACCGGTTCCAACCTGTTTTTTTTAATTGTTCATTTAATCTCAACCAGCATTATAGATTGTCCAATAATAATTCAAGACAGTTTGAAAGTTAAAAAGAATAGCCTAATTTCATCACGTGACTAACCGGTTTAAACCGGCTATGGTCGGTGTAACTCCGCTTTCAAAAACGGAAAAGAACAAAATATTCTCACGAATGACTTGATTATAGTAATCAAATCATTATTAATTCGTTCATGTAACTCATGTAAGTTATAATTAAGTCATTTCTAAATCATTCATGAAAATTTTTAATCAAGTCATTTACAAAATCATTAAAATCATTCATTCAACAAAGATTTTATATCATATCATTTTCTAATCATAATCAATTCACGAATGTATAAATATACTAGGTGTTGCTCGATGGAAGGAAACTCAAATTCAAGCAATTTAATTAATCATGAGCAACTCACAATTCAAAACCGTAACTATTGCTGGAGGAACGGGTACTTTAGGTTATGCTATCTCTGAGGCATTTTTGAATGATGGATCTTATAATGTAAAGATTCTTCGAAGAAAACCAGAAAATGAAAATGAGAAAGCTAAATTATTGGCTTCCAAGGGTGCAGAAATTGTATATGCGGATTATAATCAAAAAGATGAACTTGTCAAAGCTCTTAAAGGAACCGACGTTCTTGTCAGTGCTGTATGTTTTGATAAAAAAACAGCTGTTACGGGCTTTTACGATATTCAATCTCCATTGTTAGCCGCTGCTAAAGAAGCATCCGTGAAGAGGTTCATCCCATCCGAATTTGCTCTTGTGTATAAGTGCGTTGGTTTATTACATTTTTGTTACATGTCATAACAATTCAAATATTGTTGCGTCCTTATATCGATTTTTCTTTTTTTGCTAATTAAGGCCAGGAGTTCATCCAGTAGTGGACGATAAAATCAAATTTCGGGAAGAATTAGAAAAAAGTGGGCTTGAGTACACGTACATCCAAACCGGATTATTTCAAGAGTACCTTTACTGGATAGGATATGATATTGTGAACAAGAAAGCTACATTTTTTGGTGATGGCAATACAAAACTATATACTACATCTTTACCCGATATTGGCAAGTATACCGTTGAATCACTTAAAATACCAGAGACTCGTAACGCTCAAATTAATGTTGCTGGTGCAACCTTGTCATTAAATGAGTACCTTAAAAAGTTTGAAGAAGTTACTGGTGAGTACACTGTATATCTCTTGTTTTTTAGGTTAAAACACGAATGTAACCAATTATAATTTGTTTCTGAAGGTTCGAAGTGGGAAGTTGTTGAAGATAGAGATGTTCGACATCGATACCAAAACAATATCGACCCCGTTCCTTCGGCCGCTGATGATTTCAGAGCACTCGTTACGGAAACTACGAAATTCGATGAGATTGACAATGACAAATTCAGCTTTACTCCTCAACCTATTACCGAAACCATTGAAATTCTTGTGAAGCAAGCGTAAAATTTAGGTTCTAATTATTTATCATTTTATCAGAAGTTTCATATGATAGATTATACGTTTATTTTTTTTTTTAGTTAGTGCTTCTTGGTCAAAAATAGTAAAATTTTGCAATAGTGAAATTTTTTTAGTTTTTGTAATAAAGGTTCTAAATATATTAAACAAGTTACAATTCATTCACCATTTTATTCTATATACACAGTATATAAATTATTTCCTAAAAATCTACCGTTAGCATAAATCAGTTAAATCACGCAAACATTGCAAACTGATTATATAGAAGTATGCGTGATAGAGGACTAAAAGTCATGCTTATTTCATTTAATTCAAACAGTATTATTATTATGATGTGATTATTTACGCTTAACTTTTTTTAATTATTACAAGGTTAAATTGATCGAAAAAAATTTAATTTCGATTTTTATTATATTTAATTCAATGTTGCGCTATATAATTATCACAGTTCTTTATGAAAATTCAAATTAATTTAAAATCAAACGCTAAAGGCGCACATAGATAAAAAAATACATTTTGAGGTTTTTTTTTAATCGGTTTAAAAAAACCGAAAAAAGTTGAAAAAAAGATCGATCTGATTTGTAAAATGAGTGTATTCTTAATTATTACTCACTAGAATATATTTGGATTGTTCCATTAAATCAAAAAGCTCAAGTCGCTTTGCTTGCTTGTGAAAAATAAAAGCACGAGGATCCCGTTAATGAATAAATATCCTGATTATCCTCCAAATTCAGAAAATTCTGAGTTCCTTCAAATATATAATACAACGATAAAATAATATTTAATAGTCCTCATCCTCCTCGTCACAAAATTCCTTGGTTCTAACTATACCTAAATCTTCATATTTTTTAATTATTCTAATGTTATTTTCATCCAAATCTAAACCATTATAATTGTTCTTATTAGTTATTAAAGTAAATATTATATTTGGTTTCTTATTTTTCCATTCAATAAAAAACGTTTCCAAGTCGTTTGGAGATAATTCTGATGGTGAATCATTATTTATTTTTAATTTATAAAAGTTTTTTTGTGAATATTTTATTATAACATCTAATACATCTTTTTCATTTAAAAATCTCTTTCCGCACCAGATTTCAATATTTTCTAAATCATTACAACGATTAAGCATCATTATTAATGCGTGTAATTCATTATTATTAAATATTGCAAGAAAACTTTTAAGATTTGGACAAAATTTTGGTATACACAAATTCAAATGTTCATTATTTTGTCCTACATAGATTTCTCTAAGATTTTTTCCGTTGTTTTACTAAAAATCTTATTATGTACTCGGGTTTCGGACAATTGAAACAAAACTTTAACGTTTTCAACTCGGTAAATATAACGTTTTTTAAATTGTTGAAATCTTCAAAATAATGTACCAAAAGTTCCACCAAAGAATGAAAATCTAATATCTTGTAAATTAGAGAATAGGGAAATAAATGAGAGAGGTAAATCATTATTATTACTATAAAGATGTATTTTTTTTAACGTATTTGAATGTTTTGCTAAAGCGGGAATGATATTTTTCCAATTATTCCCCTCATATGCTAATAAATTTAAATTTATTAAATTATTTTGTAAAAGAATTAATCGTTTTAATTCATCTAAAACATCACTTACAAATTCTATAGTAAGTGATCGTAAATTATGACTTATTTGTGCCAGTTGATAAAAAAATTCGGAATGAATAATTGAACTACAGCGTAATTCTGAAAGTTCTTTTAAATAATTTTTTGTTTCGGGGAAACATAGATCATTTGGAGTATTCACAAATGTAATTAAATAATAAGTTAATTTTTTCAAGGAAGTAATTTGATTCATGAACATTTTGACTATTTCTCTTACGACCAAATAATTTCCTTCCTTTAAACTTAATGAAGTAACAGGTGATTCAAATTTATGGACATTATCAATTATTCGTCCAATCTCACAAATTGAAAGAACTTTGCAAAATGATGCATAATTAAATAGAGATAGTTTTGAAGTAATTGGTAAAATTAAAATTTCATTTTTATGCAAAAATTCTTTTGATTCTTTGGGAAGGCAAGAAATTAATGTACTAAGAATTGCTTTTTCTATTCTTAACCATTTAAAACAAGGAGTAGTATGTCCTATATGTCTTAGGACATACTACTTGTTCCAGACTAATATGTCCTAGGACAATATAGTTTATTAATTAATATGTCATAGGATGTTATAGTTTATTGATTAATATGCCCTCTCTATGACCAGTTGGTTAGTAAATATAGATGAACTGTGCGCCTATTTGGTTGCCTGTTAAAAAATCGGGTCAGGTGGCGCAGTAGATTTGCGATTAATTTTGGCTGACATTATGCCATAATTCTGGCCGATCTTTAGAGCACATGATTTGAGGATCCAGCTTGACGCCATGATGGTGACTGTAGAGCTGTCATGGAACTGGCAGGGAGCTAGAGTGGTTCTATTAGTTTGCCAGTTTTATGCCACTTCTATGCTGAGTTATTATATCCAAAGTTCTGGCCAAAATCATGGAATAGTCAATAGTGTTGGCCGAAATTAAGCGAATTTATACTGCGCCTTATTGCGCCATAGTCACGTGATACCGTTCTCATAACTCGAGTAGATTACGTAATAGAATTATTAGCCGAAATCACCTGAAATCATTTTTCAGACTTCATACACTCATACTTCAAATCTTTCTGATAGCGTTACTAGTGATAGAGACACTCTGTTCATAGTTCTTGACCATGTCTACCATGCCTGAAAGTATTAATCTAATGCCATTTGTCTGTAAATGGTATTCTCATTCAGAACCACAACATTTTAAAACCCAGGAGGAACTTAGAAATCACATTTATAAACACATTAAGTCATGCAACAGATCATTTCTAGGTTATATATGTCCGTGGAAAGGTTGCAATAAGCATCAAAGTAGTATTATTGAATTAGAAGGTATAAAAAAAATGTCAATGTACCTTTTGCCTTTGCTAGTTTTGACGATACTGTAGAAATTATAATAATTTATTGTTGTGTCTTATAGAACATTTATGTAGACATACTCGACAAAGACCATTCAAGGTATTTTTTGATATTGTTATTATTTTTTTTCTTGTAAAACAAGGGTGGTCACATTGAACTTTTTTATATTTAGTGCCCAATTTGCACTGGCTTGCGATTTTGTTCTCTTGATGCGCTAAACCGACATTTGATTTTCAACCATAATGATAACTTTGTGGACCCTGATAGCGGTGGAGATACATGTGATGAAAATGAAGAATTAAATTTAGGTATGTCACCACAATTTAGCGTGGATTTCAGTTGATAAACCTTTCAATAAACTATCAATAGCAATATAAGAACAGAAGAATAAAATCTGGCTTTCAGTCTTGCTTTTTTGTACTCGATATAATTGTTTACTGTTAATATGTTCTCCTGCGAGATGATTTATATTGTCTCTGCTTTATTGCAATTCTTTTAATTAATAATAAATAATATCAGTCTATATAAAAAATATCCTCGTTATACACATGGTGAATTATATTTTAATTTGTCTAACATATTTTCTTTTCTTATCAAAGCACAAGTCAAAGATAAAAATGATGTTCATGTGAAGAAAGAAGGCCACAAAGATGAAGCTACTGCTTATACTAAAGGAAAAGACAATAATATCGCAAAATTATCATACCGTGATGTTCTCATTAAAGATAGAAATAAAGAGACAGAGGGTTTTATGAAAACACATCAACAGGCTGTGCAGGTTGTTAAAAGTAATGTCTACGAAAATAAAGAGGCAGAGGATTTTATGGAAAGACGTCTACAAAATGATCGGGCTATGCAGGAATTATTGTATAAGGCAAGGGTAGCTATGTCATTATTACCAAAAGAATATAAAGAATATGAAAAATATGATTTGGAAAATCACGATAATTTACCTGATATGCCACAAGAAGAATTGACCGAGGTTCAAGAGAACCAACTTATTTGGGAGACATTCTGTGAATCCTACAAAGGTACAAAAGCTGGTGAATATTTTAGTGAAGCCTTTGAAATCTGGAAAAAGGATATTGGTTACCCTGCATATACTAATTAAATCAAACATATGTATAGTTTTTTATCAAATTTATTGTTATTGTGTTAAATCTATTGATAATAGTACTTATAAGATATTTTAAAACTTTCAGAGCTCTGGATTCTTATCATTTATCATTAAAATTACCGCCTCTTAAAATAGAACATTTTTTTGCAAAAAAGAAGTATAATAAGTACAAAGTACGATAAGCTTCTAACTACTTTTTTCATAGGAAAAAAGTTTTTTTCTATAGCAATTTCATCTTCTTCAAGTTATTGTGTATTTGTTTGTATTTTTAAATATGATTTAAAAGTTAATAAAATGTTATTTCTCAAATTTTAAGGATTTCAGCTTTTTTTAAAGGGAAGAAATATATGAAACTGACCTGATCAAATATAATCAGCATTAAATTTTACACAAAAAAAAACTATTAATAGGAAGTTTGATTAGTCTATCTGCCACCCCAACGTGATATTATCATATTTTATGTAACGCTACATGGCGATGGTGCTTAATTTTTATAAAATATTTCCTTACGATCAATTATTTATAATTTTATTAGATTATATTAAAGAGTATTTATTAATCATTATGTATAATCACTAGAAAATGAAAAAGTAAAGTTTAATTTAGTTATATAGTCGTCGGGCTGGTAGTGCGCCTCGCTACGCTCCTCCCACCTCGGCCTCACGGCCTCGCAGTACCTACATCCCCCTTCGTGGGGCAGGTTTACCTGCCACAGTACCATGGTCTGCCACGGTATTTTTCCACTTATTTTTTTTTCTACATTTTTTCTTATATATAACTTACTATGACAACTATGGCAGCTATGGCAGACTACTTAAAAACGGAATAAAAATGCGAATAAAGCCGAAATCAGACAGAATCTCCTGCCATAGTACCTGCCATAGTACAACAAACCTTATAATAATACTATGGCATCCTTAGTCA